ACTGATCAGGACTGGGTCCGGATGAGAAATCTGTTTGTCCCCTTCTACTAAATGTTTTATGTGTTTGCAAATAAAGACTCCCATTACAACTTTATGCTTTATTTTCATGTAAAACTTCTCTGCCTTGCTTTCTGCTAGGTCTAGTTTTTAGCATTTTAAAAAAATCCTTCAATGTATCTTTTATATATAATCATGAGTCTAATTTCACCAGAGTTTGGGGATGCCTTTGGACATATTTTCTAAATTAAGATTTCTAGTTCTACCTCTTTATTGCTATCATGTTTCATAAATTGATACATCAATTACTGGAGACTGAAGATATCATGTTTATTGGTCTCCCTACGGTCTTCTATTGATGATTTTTGAGCACACTTTTCTATCTTGGCTGTACCATTATCATCTGCAAGCATGCATATAATGTTCAGCATTTTTCCAAGTCTCTTCCTCTGGAATCTTCTTGATAAAGTTTGCAGGTTGCAATAACTTAAAAAATAAAGTTTGCAAGTTTGCAACAACTTACGTGTTCCCTATTCATGAAGTTTTCATTTGAACATGGGAGGTAATGGAGATTTTCTATACCTTAAATTATACTATTATGCTTTTTTTTTCTATTACCAAATTTGAATGGCTGCATTCAATATAAACTCTCCTTCTTTCAATCTTTTGAAATGTTCACACACAGGTTAATTTATTTGGTCTGTTTGAGACTCAAAATGTAATAGATTAGATATAAATCATTCCACTAACAAATCAGTTTGAATATTATGATATAATATTGCATTTTGATCTTTTGTTCATGCCAAATTGACATTATGAGCTAATACAGATTGTTAAAAATTGTTATGTGAAATGTTTGAATGGTTAATGGGATTTTTACTTTTAACCAATTACTTAATTCATTTTCATATGCCCACAAGCAATATTTACAATTATAACTTCTAATGACACCTCGGTTTGGGCCTGCAATATTTTCAGCTTCAGAGACACCTAAATTATTAGACATGATTACCAAAATTATAAGAATCCCACAATTAACCTTTATAAATCTTTGTCAAGAGGCAAATGTTCATTCAATAGGCAAATGTTAAAAACTAAATAGAACAAGGAACAAAGAATTAGAGGTCCCCATTTCCTTTGTCAAGGAATTTTCATATATAAAAATTAAATAGTTCCTAGACTATGCCATATTTAATTAAAATAAATTCAATCTATTGTATTTTTACTGGAAAAATATTAATTTTCACCATGTTGTTTAATACATGGTAAGAATAATGTTTCATTCAGACATATTTCTGCAATGACCTTAAACTGCTATATTCTAGGAAGAAGTCCTATATATTACTTCAATAGTTGATTTTATAAAACTTTGCCATTGTTCCATTATATTGTGGATTCAGGAAGATAGCACACTTTTTTGTGAGAACTTGTTTGATCCACATATAACAGAACACCAACTTTCTTTTATTTTGTTAATCCCTGAAGTGGTAAAATCCATTGTTCTAGTGAGATTCAGAAGGAAGAAATATCTCAGAAAGTAGGAGTTTGCCCTTCATTTCCATATCTTCAGACTGATTAGTCAGCTCAGACATAAGCCTTTATTGATTTTTTTTAAATATATGTTTCTATGAACTCACTATTTTCACAGAACTTCCTTCTTTCTCTTTTTCTCTTCCTTCTTTCTTTTGCTCCTAGACACCTGCATCTGCCTGGTTCTCCTTGAAATATTATTCTGCTGGCTAATATCATGAAGAATGTTCTTATGTAACACTTGTATTTTCCCAGAGGAGTCTTAAAGAAAAAGATTGCCCTCTAGTCTTTCATCTCCTTCAAGAAGATACTCATGCGCTAGTCACCTCCCGTATTGACTACTGCAACACTTTCTACCTAGGGCTGCCCTTGAGGACCACCCGGAGGCTTCAGCTGGTACAGAATGCAGCCACGCGGGTCGTGATGGGTAGTTCCCGATACGCCCATGTTACACCTTTCCTGTGCGACTTGCATTGGTTACCAGTTGCCTCCGGGTGAGATTCAAGGTGCTGGTGATGACTTATAAAGCCCTACATGGCTTAGGTCCAGGATATTTGTCGGACCATCTGCAACCAGCAACAGCTCCCCATCGCCAGATGCGTTCTCACAGAGAGGGCCTACTCAGGGTGCCATCGGCTAGACAGTGTTGACTGGTGACCCCTAGAGGCAGAGCTTTCTCTGTGGGTGCTTTCACCCTCTGGAACCAACTTCCTCTGGGGCTCCGGTTGGGCCCTGACCTCCGCACCTTCCGCCACGACTTAAAGACATGGTTGTTCAGCCTGGACTGGGGGGGTTAACATGTATTTTAACACGCTTTTATTCGGATATTTTATTGTTGTGAGCCGCCCTGAGTCCTACGAAGATAGGGCAGCATATAAATCAAATCAAATCAAATAAATAAATAAATAAATAAATAAATAAGAAGGAAAATAACTTATTCTTGTAATTAGCATACTCTTCTGGTAAGAAGACAAATAATAATAAAATAAAATAATAAAATAAAATAAAGTTGCTTTGTAAGAGTGGTTTTATTGATCTAAGAGCAAGAATACTTCCAGACAGATAGCTGCACTGCTAACAATAAAAAATATTATGAAAATATTGCATCTTCTTTTGTTTTTTTAATAAAAAATCATTGATACAAAATAATCAACATAGCTTTTAAATTGACAACATGCTCAGAGTATAATTCCTTGATAAGTTTCTTTCAACTAATGGTTCCATTCAAGTTTGATGTATTCAGATATGTTCTGTTTGATTCATAAAATTGGTGGTCTTTGAGCTTGGTGGTTTTCTTGCAGATGATATTACCTAGTTTGGTAATGAAATGTCTGCAAGATAACTACCAAGCTCAGGAAGCACCAAAGACCCCACAGTTCAACCCTGAGCTACAAATATTCTCTTCTATCGGTTGTTCAAATTGTACCATTTTCTTCTTATGTGTTTTATTGAAGTAAAACACAGAATGCTTTATTGTAAAGCTTTAAAGCAGCTGTTTAACTGCAGAAAGCCAGAGATTGGGGTGATGGCTCTTCCTACACAACTGTGATCCTTCTTTGCAATGAAAGATTGCAATGACATGGAAATAAATCTCCCACTTTCTACACTAATTTTCATGTAATTAATATGGTCTCCACCTGGCAGTCATTATACATGCGTTGTTCTTATGTTGTACACAAAGATAAATCTGAATAAACAGTGCTGATTCCTGTTAATTTATCTAAGTGTCATTCAACTCGCATTATAAGAATCTGATGCTGATTATTCATCATAAGAGCAAGTCTAAATAATACTCTACTTTGCTTAATTCTGGCAACAATATTCGTATAGAAAACATGGGCAAAAAGTTGGGGGAAGGGAGAAAACAAACAAGAAATGTACTATCAACAGTCAATAAACATATAAATGAAAAGGGCATAACAAAAATCAAGGAAATCATCAGGTTTTAAATTATAATTTAGTACAGTATCTGTTTCAAATGATGATTCCCTTTATGTAAATATTTGTCTTATTTATGTAAGGGAGAGTATCAGCCCACAGCTGCATTTTTGTTTCCTGTTCAGCTTCTATTGTAAACCAAATTGATGCACTATACTGATATGCATGTTGATATTTTGTGAATGCCTTGATGAAGAATACAGAGGAGCAAATGAGTTATGGTTTATGTTTTAAGTGCTTGATTGATTTCTTTGATGATCACTGTCCGAGAGCCAATTTCTATATGATTTATATGTTTCTGGCAATTGAGGTTTCAAATTCAAAGAAATACACAGCCAAGCAATATTGAATCCTCATGTATGTATTGTATTCCTGTCTGATTCAACTCCCTACACCAAACCTGGGTATAATCCCAGGATCAAAACTGGGCTGAAAATATAGATAATAGAGAACAGTAGATGGACTTCTAATATCTTTGATCTGCATACCTCTTTCTACCTTAATTGTCCCTCCATTTTATTTGACTTAGGGTTGGTCAAGTCTCTATTTGAAGATTATTATCCTGTTACACAGTATCGCTTAAAGTCAAAGGCTTAAATATAATAAATATTAGACCTAGATGGGTTTTGGCTTCTATATGATGAATACCAACAAGATAGAAAGCAACAAGAACAGAAGCCATAAATGTCTTCCTTGAGTCTGATCAGGAGCATTTTTAGACCTAGCTTTTAAGAACAAAATTAATCAGAGGTTTAACATGCTGCAAAGCAAAACACCAGCCTAAGGCATTAATCTGTCTGTACAAAAATGCTATTAGGTTCTACAAAGGAGTCATAAAAATTATTGGAAAATAAAATAGAGGATGTCTGCTTTGTTTGGAAGCATGTTCATCTACTTTAAAAAATATGCAGGGAGTGTCCTAGCATGACTAAATTAGTGAAAAGAAGCATCTCCCTTTATGTGTACAGTATTTGTGTGTTTGTGTGGATGAACAAATTATCCTGTTGCAGCCATTTTAAGGAAACTCACAACATGCTCTCTAAAATTTAGACATGGCCTCCTCCTGCTGGAAAATATTTAAAAATGCATATCTGCCTTCCTAAAATAGGGTTAAAGAACTTATTGAGCTGGTCATTCAGATGTTGCTAAACTGCAACCCTATCAGTCATGGTCACTATGAGCAATATTTTTAAAGTACAGATATGTGTAGAGGGTTGAATGTTTTATTTTCATTCTCATAAAAAAATGGCAGCCTAATGCTAGGAATACCACCACACTTTCAGAAATGAACATAACAATTAAAGGGCAGATCATTCTAAATACCTCTTTCTGCCAGCATCGGGTAGGCAGAAATAACCTTGATCAGTCCTTAAGACAATAAACCAACAAATGAATTGCATTTGTTTCTTATTTATATTTAGGGGTGCAGCAGTATCTGTCATTGACTCAAGTTATGCATTGGGAAATAAACAGCCTAAAATTAGAGATGATTCCCATCACCCCTGGGTATTATCAAGTAAAATAAAACAAAATACCTCTTTCTCTTCCTCTTTTTTGCCCTGGCTCTTGCTATAATTGATTGGTGTATCCCAACCTTCTTTTTCATTCAAAGCTTGGTAGAAAGTGGCATTGACCAGAATGCTGCCTGTTTTGAAGGGAGAGGAGGAAGGAGTGGGGACATTGGCACTGAAGGAACTTAGAGAAGTAATATTTTCTTGACTTCGGTTCTTTTTCATGCTCAGATCCAAAGTGCCATTTTCATCTACTTCTATTTCAGTTGCCTGAAACATAAGAGAGAAATGTTTAAAGAGCTGTTTGCAGAGGCACCCTAAGACATGCGGAGCTTTTAAGGGATAAGTGAAAATGCCTCCTATTATTTAAATATATCTAAATCTAAAACCAGCTTTACCGTTTACACCCATTAATATTTAATTCTTAGGCAGACTTAAGTGATACTTCAATAATGCTCTTTCTGTGTTTGAACACTTACGTATTGCAAGCAGAATTGGAAAAAAGGCTTCCTAAATATAAACTATATATACTAAATCGGAGGATGTTTTTAAAATTTAAATCTTGCCCATTTTATTTGCAAAGAATTATGATCGCTTTTGGATCAGAGCATAAATTTATTACTTATCAATCTTATTCTTGTATTCTTTCCTTCCCCCATACACTAGACACAGTACATTTGCATCAGAGGAGAGTAAAGAAACACAAAAACATTTGTCTTTTACATAGGAGCTACAATCTCACTTGATCTAAAGTGCACTCTGAATTATAAGATCATGTTAAAGGATTATTGTAATAAATGTGGGTGGTATCCCTCTCTTAAATATAATATCTCATTGGAAATTATGAAGAACAAAATGAGATATAAATTATTCTTGTTGATCTGTAGCTTGCATTATGGCCAAATTATGTGTATTTTTCCTTATGATACTCTATGCATGTTTGGTATCTACAAAAGTATCTTAACTGAACTATTGAAAGGTTTTGACCTACATAGGTTCAATTTTTAATCTGATGCTTCCCCAGATGTGTGAACTACATCCCACAATTCCCTTACTGCCCTATTGACTGAGGATTTGGGGGAGTTAAAATATAATACATTTCCAGGTTTGAGGCAACCCTATATACCAAACCGGCTAGGTTTGCATTTAATTTCAGCATCCTTTCCTACAGAGGAAGAATGGGGAATTTCAGTATATTCTCTAATTCAGGGGTCCTCAACCTATAGCAAATGAACTCTCATTCCTGTTTAATATTGTAGCCAAGGTAGCCCCAGGAACTATGCTACCAAAATTCAGGAGAAATGCAATTGCCAACGTATTTTAATAGATTTTGGCACTAAGAACTAAAATAGCTTTTAATAAATTAATTCAAAAAGAACAAAACAATCAGAATGTGGAAAACAACTATTAATTCTATGACAAAACAAACTCAATACAATACAATTAAAATACAAAGTGTAAAGTTGTAGAGTTGAGAAAGGGGATTCCAGTAGAGAGATAACTTTTGTTTAAAGATGGATGAATGATAAATGGAACAGTGCTTTTGCTTTATATATTTCCTTTATATAATATTGCAAAAGGGCCTGGTGGCTCAGCAGACTAAAAGCATTGTAATTAACACCAGCTGTCTGCAATTACTGTAAGTTTGAATCTCATCAAGGCTCAAGGTTGACTCAATCTTCCATCCTTTCTAAGGCAGGTAAAATGAGGACCCAGTTTGTGGGGGCAATAAGCTGATTTTGTATAAATATACAAAAGTATGAAGGCTATTGCTTAAAGCATTGTAAGCCGCCCTGAGTCTCCGGAGAAGGGTGGCATATAAATCAAATTAAAAAAACAAACTGAAAATGGTTTAGTTACTATGGTACTCAGAAATTATTAAACCCATTCAGCGGGCTGGATTATTATGCTTACTTCCTGGATCCAAAATTTATTCAGGAAAAACAAAAATCAACCATCCCATAATCTAGTATTAGAAACATATAGTATACCAAAACAGTAATAACATTTTCAGGAAAGTTAGATAAAAAGTTTATAAGAAAGTTATAAGAAGTTTCCACTTTCATAAAAATCTTTGCAAAGATTTTTGAGCTACAATGCCTTATATTGTTATATTTTAAGAAAAAATTGGTAGCATTTATATTCTGAGTCATAATATCACATTTATAGTAAAATTGGCTTTCATTGAAAATAATATTCCTAGCAAATTTTACACAGGTAGGTTGAAGGAATTTGAGGTCAATTTAAGGGCTTTAACTTAAAGGGAAGGGATGTTGGAAAGAAATGATGATGATGTCCTCCGCAAATATGTTATATTGGGAGTAGAGCAATATATAAAAATTTCCTCACTAATCTTTTCAATAAAATATCAAATAAACATCTAAATTAGCTCATGAAATATCACCCTGCAACAGGAAATAACAAGTAAAGCAAATGACAAAACATATCCTTCTAAAGTGTCTGCAACCCTCCAAAGATATTGTAAGGCTAGTCTGATCTCAAGAGGAAGCCCTGTCAGTCATTCAGTGTAATTTTTGTTTCCCCTCCCAGCACAACCTGGATATAAATTTGGAACAACAAATTGGCAAAATGCATTGTGAGGATGTTTTAATTGAGAGCAAGCAGGGTAGATGGATACATTCTACCTCATGTACTTCACAATTTATCTCAAATTATCTCAATAAACCTTGACGCTCAGCTTTTGACAGAATCCAATGCTAAACTCTTTTACTGAGTTAGCCTGAATTTCTCCTAGGTAGTAGGAAAGGACAGGAAGTGAGGTAAAAAATACAGAGCATATACCAGTCTAATATCTGGGTTTTTTTCTTCATTTAAATGATGCTGTGCTTGAATGGTAAGTTGACCTAGACTTTGGTATCTGAATATAGATCTTTTTAACATTCATATTTTGTTTTCTGAATCAAATATTTTGTTTTTTTAATCTAGGTGAAATGTTAATATATATTGCAAGTCCATGTATGATATGCCATATGCTAAATAAATATGTGAAACTACTTCTGGTATGATTAGCTGGCTGTTTGGTGGTTATCTTCCTTAACCTGTAAACCACATGTTGCCTAATCTGATCAACTACTGCTTTAGTGATTAGAACATTCTGGAATTGTTTGTATAAAAAGTTTTATTATAAATCCTGACTGACAAATGTATCTTATGTATGATTCGTTGCTCCACCATACAGTACATGGTTGGCCACCAATTCAATATGTTGGTTACTGAGAAAAAGACAAAGGCAACCAAACAGAATAAATCCTGAAAAAAGTTACAAAAGAGTAAACTATTTTGGCATAGCTGCTAAAATATCAATCTTTTTTAGAGTATGTTGATCATATATCGTATTGTTAGAAAATAATCCAGAAAATATAAAGTTTTCATGATACTTATGTAAGGTTTTAGAAATATCAGTTCTCTTGCTTTCCTTGGAAAAAGCTGAAAACAATTGGGCCAATTACTTCACTGTGTACAAATGAGAAACTCTTTTATGACAACAATCACATTTTAATCCCTCATTTTAAGAGAGATATACTTCATTATATTTATGGAAAGTAAATATACTTATAATATGTTCATGCTAAGATGCTTTCACTATATCTTTCTGTCCCTTTTTAGCAAATAATTTAATCTCCTGTGATAGTTTTAAGCCCTGAATTTGCCAGTACAGCTTATCCCGGATAATAACTTAGTAACCACATCTTATGCCATCTGTATAAAATCAAATACAGTTTTATATCAGCATTAATAACCCTTACTTACAAAAATCCAAGATATTAACTGTATCATTGCCAGCTGAACTTTCCAGGGCCTGACTGCATTGCCATAATTACCCTTGTGTTTTTTTGGCTTCATAGTTGATATATAAGTGCAGCCATGAAATGGAGCTACAAGTAATCAAGTTTAATAACCACTGTAAAGTAAAATGCTAAATATTGTAGTTGCAAACATTTTTCATAATAAAAAAACTTGGGTTAAGTCTGCCTGACCAACATTCACATAAAATGCCAGACCTCTGTGACAGATGGCTTAGGAGAAGATGCCATGTGATAGGGCTGCAGTAGTTTTATGGTGAAAAAAAAAACCATAAATAGTGCAGATTTTCTGTCACTAAATAAAATACCAGCTATAGGGAAAGCAGAGACAACAGCAAACAAATTCCATAAAACAGTCAAAGTCTTCTCAAATTAAAACACAAATCCAAATATGTTAGGAAACACATCTGACGATTGGGAACCAAGCCGTATTTAACTGAACTAAAAAGGTCTGGTTGGAAGGCAATTCATACCCAGAGATGTGAACATTCTTGATTTTTTTCTTTTTTTAACATTTAACATTTTATTGCTTGTGTTTTTATCATTATTGTTAACTGCCAGAGTGGCGTGCCAAAATATGGGTGGCCATATAAATCTTTTCAAATAAATAAAATTAATAAAGTAGCTAGGGTTTCTTCTGATGTGTAAACATTGGTGAACACAAATTCAATTATGATCAGAAGGTTGTGCATTTGCAAAAAAAATAAAAGGGTACTTGACATATACGTGAGCTCACTGTTGAACACAATGATCAAATGGAGAAATGAGTCTTGGGTTTGAAAAAGAATGGACCGCATTTTACATCTTGACTATTTATTATATGATACTTTTCATCTAACATTTTCTACAGTCATAGTAAATGCTAAAGGAATATTACTATGGAATTCACCTTTCTGTTTCATGAATTAATCTTTTAATCATTTTAAACATATATTACTAGAAGAGGATGGACACTTATTCAAAGAAGTAGTTTTTAATTTTCATCTTGCCAAAATATCCAAGATGTGCTTAGATAGCTCCGGAAGATAAATTTTGGGAAAAAAATACACATGGGGTAACTCTTTGATTTCTCCCCAGCCAATAAATTGGTTGCATAGAAAATCAACAACTCAGGAAAATGGCTAGGCAAAGATATTTCTCTTTCATATTAGGATTTGATAGGCAGGAAGGTTTATAGAACAGGCAAGTGGTTCTATGTATTGGCTGCATTCACACAACATACTGTACTTCACCTTGTTTAACATATTAGACTATAATATAAATCATCGATAAGAGATGGTATTAAGAAACAAATGTGGAAATTTGATCCAGGAGGAATCATTGTTATCTTTTGGGATGATTTGGGATTGATAAAATGCCATAGTAAATGTTCTCTATGTTGATTACAATAACAGTTTGTTAACAGAGGGCTTTGAAACCTTAACCTTGCCTTTTTTATTACTATTG